CCACTCCAGACAATGCTTGACATTGTGCATGGTGATCTTAGGCTTGTGTGCGGCTGCTCGGCCATGGAAACTCATTTCATGACGCTCCCGACGAACAGTTCTTGTGCTGATGTTGCTTTCAGAGGCAATTTGGAACTCGGTAGGGAGTGTTGCAAACGAGGACAGATGATTTTTACGCGCTACTCGCTTCAGCACTCGGCAGTCCCGTTCTGTGAGCTTGTGTGGCCTACCACTTCGCGGCTGAGCTGTTGTTGCTCCTAGATGTTTCCACTTCATAATAACAACACTTACAGTTGACCGGGGGCAGCTCTAGCAGGGCAGAAATTTGACGAACTGACTTGTTGGAAAGGTGGCATCTTATGACGTTGAAGATCACTGAGTACTTCAGTAAGGCCATTCTACTGCCAAAGTTTGTCTATGGAGATTGCATGGCTGTGTGCTCAATTGTATACACCTGTCAGAAATAGTTGAATCCACTAATTTGAAGGGGTGTCCACATACTTTGTATATATAGTGTAATTCCACTTTGACATAATAGGGTATTGTGTGTAGGGTATATTTAGGCCAGTGACAAAAAATCTCAGTTCAATCCATTTTTAAATTCAGGCTGTAAGACAACAACATTTTGAAAAGGTCAAGGGGGTGTAAATACTTTCTGAAGGCACTGTACATGATCACATACATGATTAACATTTACGATGGCGGGCAATTCTACGGTAACGGAATTACGCTTTGACCTTAAAATGTATGCAAAACAAAAACCATTTATTTCAAAGTTTAACAAACCATACAACTCTATGCAACCAATGACTACTTTACAGAACATTTTACAAAAAGTAATTTAGTGGAAGAACTGTGCAGATGCATATACGGTAAAATCTCCCTCAAGTTTTTATGCGACCACGTTTTCCAAAAGCTCTGTTAAAAGATGTCTGCAGAAAGAATGGGGCGTCAGCTATGACATAGGACCTTGAGTTTGAGAAAAATCTATTTTGGTTATTGAACTACAGTAAGTGAAGTGGATTTACACCCGGTAACGGAATTACGGTAACGGAATTACATCATGGGTCCCTGATCTGTACTACACAGAAATGCATAATTATGAATATGTTTAACACGTTTGGACATCACTGCAGAGCACAGTACAGTACAGTACAGCAAAGCACAGTAGAGTAGAGTTCAATACAGTACAGGAAAGCGCGAACCACCGCAAGGTGACTGGGAACATGGACGAGTACAAACAGACCAGCTATGACCTCCGTAAGCCAATCAAAGAGGCAAAACGTCAGTATAGGGACAAAGTGGAGTCTCAATTCAACGGCTCAGACACGAGACGTATGTGGCAGGGTTTACAGACAATCACGGCTTATAAAAGGAACGCTAACCACGTCACAGACACCTCGCTCCCGGACAAGCTAAACACCTTCTTTGCCCGCTTCAAGGAAAACACAGAGCCGCAGACGTGGGTCACAGCCACTCACTTGGACTGTGGGCTCTCGTTCTCCGTGGCCGACGTGAGTAAGACATTTAAGCGTGTTAACCCTCGCAAGGCTGCCGGCCCAGACGGCATCCCTAGCCGCGTCCTAAGAGCATGTGCAGACCAGCTGGCTGGTGTGTTTACAGACATATAATAATAATATGCCATTTAGCAGACGCTTTTATCAAAAGCGACTTACAGTCATGATATTCAATCTCTCCCTATCCCAGTCTGTTGTCCCCACTTGCTTCAAGATGTCCACCATTGTTTCTGTACCCAAGAAAGCGAAGGTAACTGAACTAAATTACTATTGCCTTGCCCTGTAGCAATCACTTCTGTCATCACGAAGTGCTTTGAGTGGCTAGTTAAGGAGCATATCACCTCCACCTTACCCGACACCCTAAACCCACAAAATGTGCATACCGCCGCAACAGATCCACGGATAAAGCAATCGCCATCGCACTGCACCCTGCCCTATCCCATCTGGACAAGAGGAATACATACCTATGTAACAATGCTGTTCATCGACTACAGCTCAGCTTTCAACACCATAGTGCCCTCCAAGCCTCGTCACTAAGCTCAGGGCCCTGGTTCTGAACCCCTCCTGTACTTCCTGACAGGCTGACCCCAAGTGGTGAAGTTAGACAACAACACCTCCGCCACGCTGATCCTCAACACGGGGGGCCCACAGAGGTGCGTGTTCAGCCACCTCCTGTACTTCCTGTTCAACCATGACTGCATGGCCACAAACGTCTCCAACTCAATCAAGTTTGCAGACGACACAACAGTGGTAGGCCTGATTACCTGCGATGACGAGACATGGGAGGAGGAGGTGAGGGCCCTGGCGGAGTGGTGCCAGGAAAATAACCTCTCCCTCAACGCCAACAAAATGAAGGAGCTGATCGTGGAAATCAGGAAACATCAGAGAGAGCACGTCCCCATTCACATCGACAGGGTCGCAGTGGAGAGGGTGAAAGCTTCAAGTTCCTCGGCTTGCACATCACTGACACCTGAAATGATTCATACACACAGACATTGTGGTGAAGAACTTCAACCTCAGCAGGCTGAATACATTCGGCTTGATGCACCATTGAGAGCATCCTGTTGGGCTGTATCACCGCCTGGTACGGCAACTGCACCGCCCGCAACCGCAGGGCTCTCCAGAGGGTGGTGCGGTCATCCCAATGTATCACCGGGGACACACTGCTTTCCCTCCAGGACATCTCCAGCACCCGGTGTCACAGGAAGGCCAAGAAGATCATCAAGGACCTCAGCCACACGAGCCACAGCCTGTTCACCCAGCTACCATCTAGAATGAACCATTTATTTTACTGTTGCTTTTATTTTTTTACTTAACACTTAAAAAAAAAAAATGTTTAACTGCATTGTTGGTTAAGGGCTTGTAAGTAAGCATTTCACTGTAATGTCTACACCTGTTGTATTCGGCGCATGTGGCAAATAAAATTTGATTTGAAGGCCGAGACAGTACAGGTGCATCAAAGCTGGGACAGAGAGACTGAAAAACACCTTCTATCGCCAGGCCATCACGCAGTAAATAGTCACCACTAGCCGGCCTCCGTCCAGTACCCTGCCCTGAACCTTAGCCACTGTTACTAGCCGGCCACCGCCCAGTACTCTAGACAGCTGCCCTATCTACATAGTCACTGAACACTGGTCATTTGAATTATGTTTACATTCTGTTTTACCCACTTCTTATGTATATACTGCATTCTAATCAAGGCTCATCCTATATAACTACTGCTGTACACACCTTTTCTATTCATATACTGTCCATAATGTTTATACACAACATTATATATATATACTGAATGTACTGTATATTTATATTCCAGACTATATTTATATTTTTTGATTTTTCTTAATTTCTTATTTTTGGAATTTGTGTGTATTGTTCTGTATTGTTACGTATTACTGCACTGTTGGAGCTAGCATTTCACTGCACCTGCAATAACATAATGTGTACACAACCAATACAATTTGAATTGACAGTACAGTACAGTAGAGCTCAGTACAGTAAAGTAGAGTATAGTTCACTACAATATACTGTACTCTACTGTACTATACTATACTTGTCTTTACTGTACTGTATTGTGCTCCACTCACTGTACTGTATTGTACTGCACTGTACTGTATTGTACTGTATTGTACTGTATTGTACTGTATTGTACTGTATTGTGCTCCACTCACTGCACTGTACTGCACTGCACTGTGCTATCCAAACTTGTGAAACATATGTCTATGATAGGTTCACATTTGGTCCAGTCCGGTCCGTCTGTGGACGTTAACATCAAGGCCAGGGTGGACTGATCAAATTTCAACTACTATTCAACGTCCCATGGACGTCCGGTGTCGGTCGGTGCTCAGTGGATGAGGATGCTTGTTACAGTAAATGGAAAGAGAGGGGGCTCATGGGTAGGTGTCAGTAAGAGGTGGAAAAGACAGTTATGAGCTGAACATAACAGTATGCCAGTGGAAGGGAGGACAATAGCAGGTGATCCAAGACAGTTATGAGCTGAACATTACAGTATGCCAGTGGAAGGGAGGACAGTAGCAGGTGATCCAAGACAGTTATGAGCTGAACATTTCAGTATGCCAGTGGAAGGGAGGACAGTAGCAGGTGATCCAAGACAGTTATGAGCTGAACATTACATTATGCCAGTGGAAGGGAGGACAATAGCGTTTAATAATTCAAAACAAACTTGATATCAGTAAAAACACTAACTAATTGGTAGGTCTACCATTTCTTGTTACTTCTGTGAACTTTCATTATCCTCCCTCCTCGTGAGGGAGAGAAATGAGAAAATATCTTAAAGATATGTGGGTGTTTGGTAACGGAATTACAAGGCACAAGGCAATATTTCTTACATTTACAAATGGTACATTTCTCCAAAACGAAATATAAGTGTTGATATTAGTTGGCAGGGGTCTTTATGTCAACATTATTGTGTATTGATGTATTTCTGATACCTTTTAAGACTTTTTCTGGGTAGATGTCTTCTAAGACCCCTTTTCCATCTGTTTATCCAGAAATCAAAGCCTTTACATATGCCAAATATCCTAGATAGAAAACGGTTGAAACATGTATCTATGCATTAATTTCCCAAAAATATAGACTCTTAGCTTTTATTTGACACCCAATTTGACCTGTTCGTATTAACTTAAAATGTTGGTCCTTTTACATGGAAATGCCCAGGCACAAAATACCTGTGTGTGTGTGTGTGTGTGTGTGTGTGTGTGTGTGTGTGTGTGTGTGTGTGTGTGTGTGTGTGTGCGTGCGTGCGTGCGTGTGTGCGTGTGTGTGTGTGTGTGTGTGTGTGTGTACATATTGTAGTGAACCACAGGAGAGAGTTTTGACTTCTGCTGTTATGTCAACATGCAGGAACACAAACACATGTGGCCATAACTATCCATGGGGTCGCTAGGATACAAGATTGAGTTTGAATGTGTGTGTTTGTACATTGGCTCAGTCAGTAGTAGGGATCTGACCCTGACACTGTGGTGGTCATGTATGCCAGGACAGAAGACTCCCAGGGTCCTTAGCCTTCATCCGCAGGGCCACCAGGCTGGATGGCTTATACTCGGTCTCTGGCCCCGGCTCAAAGGAGTGGCCCCCGAGGGACCCAGGGAAGCTGTGGAGGGAATAGAGGCCGTTGATGGCAGGGTGATGTGGTGAGTGATGGTGAGGGTGGTGGGGGTGGCTGGAGGACGGGGGCATGCCCATGAAGCCCATGGAGGAGAGATTGCTGTGGGGGTGGGGGTAGGGGGTCATACAGGAGGAAGACATGGTGTCAGGGCCCAGGACACCGCCCCCGCCGGACCCCCCGCCCCCTCCTGCACCCGCTCCTGGCCACAGGTTGCTCTGCATCTAGAGAGGAAGAGAGTACGTCAGATTAGATTAAGGGACGAGCGTGCGAAGGTGTGACGCCACCTGTCAGAAGACAGTACCTGGTAGGTGGAGATATCGTATGTAGCAGCAAAACAAACTATGTGTGTCGGTGTGTGTCAGAGTGTGTCAGAGTGTATCAGAGTGTGTCGGGGTGTGTCAGTGTGTATCAGAGTGTGTCAGAGTGTGTCAGAGTGTGTCAGTGTTTGTCAGAGTGTGTCAGAGTATGTCTGTGTGTATCAGAGTGTGTCAGAGTATGTCTGTGTGTATCAGTGTGTATCAGAGTGTGTCAGCGTGTGTCAGAGTGTGTCAGAGTGTGTCAGATTGTATCAGAGTGTGTCAGAGTGTCAGAGTGTGTCAGTGTGTGTCTGTGTGTATCAGAGTGTGTCAGTGTGTATCAGAGTGTGTCAGTGTGTATCAGTGTGTGTCTGTGTGTATCAGAGTGTATCAGAGTGTGTCAGGGTATATCAGAGTGTGTCAGAGTGTGTCAGTGTGTATCAGAGTGTGTCAGTGTGTGTCAGAGTGTGTCAGGGTGTATCAGAGTGTGTCAGAGTGTGTCAGAGTGTGTCAGAGTGTGTCAGAGTGTATCAGAGTGTGTCAGAGTGTGTCAGTGTTTGTCAGAGTGTGTCAGAGTATGTCTGTGTGTATCAGTGTGTGTCAGTGTGTATCAGAGTGTGTCAGTGTGTATCAGTGTGTGTCAGGGTGTATCAGAGTGTGTCAGTGTGTATCAGAGTGTGTCAGTGTGTATCAGAGTGTGTCAGTGTGTATCAGAGTGTGTCAGTGTGTATCAGGGTGTGTCAGGGTGTATCAGAGTGTGTCAGAGTGTGTCAGTGTGTATCAGAGTGTGTCAGTGTGTATCAGGGTGTGTCAGGGTGTATCAGAGTGTGTCAGTGTGTATCAGAGTGTGTCAGTGTGTATCAGAGTGTGTCAGAGTGTGTCAGAGTGTGTCAGTGTGTATCAGGGTGTGTCAGGGTGTATCAGAGTGTGTCAGTGTGTATCAGAGTGTGTCAGGGTGTATCAGAGTGTGTCAGTGTGTATCAGGGTGTGTCAGGGTGTATCAGAGTGTGTCAGAGTGTGTCAGTGTGTATCAGAGTGTGTCAGTGTGTATCAGAGTGTGTCAGTGTGTATCAGGGTGTGTCAGGGTGTATCAGAGTGTGTCAGTGTGTATCAGAGTGTGTCAGTGTGTATCAGAGTGTGTCAGCGTGTGTCAGAGTGTGTCAGTGTGTATCAGGGTGTGTCAGGGTGTATCAGAGTGTGTCAGTGTGTATCAGAGTGTGTCAGGGTGTATCAGAGTGTGTCAGTGTGTATCAGAGTGTGTCAGTGTGTATCAGAGTGTATCAGAGTGTATCAGAGTGTGTCAGAGTGTGTCAGAGTGTGTCAGTGTGTATCAGAGTGTGTCAGTGTGTGTCAGAGTGTATCAGTGTGTATCAGAGTGTGTCAGAGTGTATCAGTGTGTCAGAGTGTGTCTGTGTGTCAGTGTGTGTCTGTGTGTCAGTGTGTCTGTGTGTCAATGTATGTCTGTGTGTCAGTGTGTCAGTGTGTCAGTGTGTCAGTGTGTGTCTGTGTGTCAGTGTGTGCCTGTGTGTCAGTGTGTCTGTGTGTCAATGTATGTCTGTGTGTCAGTGTGTCAGTGTGTCAGTGTGTCAGTGTGTATCAGAGTGTGTCAGTGTGTGTCTGTGTGTCAGTGTGTGTCAGTGTGTATCAGTGTGTATCATAGTGTGTCAGAGTGTGTCAGAGTGTATCAGAGTCTGTCAGAGTGTGTAAGAGTGTGTCTGTGTGTCAGTGTGTGTCTGTGTGTCAGTGTGTCTGTGTGTCAGTGTATGTCTGTGTGTCAGTGTGTGTCTGTGTGTGTACCTGGTAGGTGGAGATATCGTATGTAGCAGCAAAGTGGTTTCGCACCTCCTGGATCTTCCCGTAGCGTTCCCTCTTCCTCCACTTGGCCCGCCGGTTCTGGAACCACACCTGAATGGAGAGAGAAAGGGATCAGAGGGCATGTTACCATAATTTACTTTCAGATGCCTGAGCAGCACTTCTACTTTGCCTTTCTGCACATGAATATTGTATCCTATAATCTGGATGTATTAAATGTTTGCAGGATGGCACTGCAAACTATTACAGTTGGACTGAGATAGTTACTGTAGCGGCCAGGATAGGGGACTGAGATAGTTACTGTAGCGGCCAGGATAGGGGACTGAGATAGTTACTGTAGCAGCCAGGATAGGGGACTGAGATAGTTACTGTAGCGGCCAGGATAGGGGACTGAGATAGTTACTGTAGCGGCCAGGATAGGGGACTGAGATAGTTACTGTAGCGGCCAGGATAGGGGACTGAGATAGTTACTGTAGCGGCCAGGATAGGGGACTGAGATAGTTACTGTAGCGGCCAGGATAGGGGACTGAGATAGTTACTGTAGCGGCCAGGATAGGGGACTGAGATAGTTACTGTAGCGGCCAGGATAGGGGACTGAGATAGTTACTGTAGCGACCAGGATAGGGGACTGAGATAGTTACTGTAGCGGCCAGGATATGGGACTGAGATAGTTACTGTAGCGGCCAGGATAGGGGACTGAGATAGTTACTGTAGCGGCCAGGATAGGGGACTGAGATAGTTACTGTAGCGGCCAGGATAGGGTACTGAGATAGTTACTGTAGTGGCCAGGATAGGGGACTGAGATAGTTACTGTAGTGGCCAGGATAGGGGACTGAGATAGTTACTGTAGCAGCCAGGATAGGGGACTGAGATAGTTACTGTAGCGGCCAGGATAGGGGACTGAGATAGTTACTGTAGCGGCCAGGATAGGGGACTGGTATAGTTACTGTAGCGGCCAGGATAGGGGACTGAGATAGTTACTGTAGCGGCCAGGATAGGCGACTGAGATAGTTACTGTAGCGGCCAGGATAGGGGACTGAGATAGTTACTGTAGCAGCCAGGATAGGGGACTGAGATAGTTACTGTAGCAGCCAGGATAGGGGACTGAGATAGTTACTGTAGTGGCCAGGATAGGGGACTGAGATAGTTACTGTAGTGGCCAGGATAGGGGACTGAGATAGTTACTGTAGCGGCCAGGATAGGGGACTGAGATAGTTACTGTAGTGGCCAGGATAGGGGACTGTAGGATGTGTAGAATGTGAGTAAAAGGGGGATTACCTGTACACGGGCCTCTGTGAGTTCGGTCCTGAGGGCCAGCTGTTCCCGGGCGTAAACGTCAGGGTAGTGAGTCTTCTGAAACACCTTCTCCAGCTCCTCCAACTGGAAGGTGCTGAAGGTGGTGCGGTTACGACGCTTCTTGTTCTTGCCTGATAGGTCGATGGAGTCTGCGATCGAGTCCCCTTTTTGGAGACCATTGGTTGGCTCCTTCATCTTGACGCAGCAGTCTGAGCCAATCACTGGGTAACCCATGGGCTTGGGACCCACCTTCTCTCTGGCTGAGGCAGGGTGCAGAGAGAGAAAGGAGGAAGATAGGGCTTACTATGAGAAAGTGCGTGTGTGTGTGCGTTTGCGTGCCAAAAAAAGTAAATTGCTGCGTTTAAGCGAGGCTCCGATGTCTACCACTGGTAACATTGTCACATAGAGATGTTCAGATTAAAACAGCCAACCCAAGGCAGACTAGAGCTGGTTCATGAACATCCACTGAGGCAGCAATGGAATATTCTCCATTATAGTAAACAGGATGCAGCCACGCAGGCTTGTCTTTTCTCAGGAGATATGGCTAAGATCTGGAGGAGGACGTTGGGTTAGAAAGTAGCGAACGTTCCCATGTTGTCTCAGGGGTCCCACTGATCTCTTACAGCCCCCTAATATGAGGTGAAGAGAAGAACAGGCCTGATGAGCCACGACGACAAGACAAGCAAAGTATGTGTGCCAACATTAAGTGAGCTGCTGACGGAATCGTTTTACTACAACACTAAATCTGTATGAGATAAGAGTTGGAAATAAACATGTATGCGTTTTCTTCATCTTCATTTAGTATTTTAGTTTTGAAGTCTCCTTATTATGGTTTAATCAGATCTGACCAGACACAACATTCCAGACCACTGCAACACTGTTTGTTTTGACCCACATTAAATGAAGGTCATGAACCACTGAGCAGGACTCAAACTGATATGTTTTGGGTAATGGGGGGGGGTTTCACATGGAGCTGGTGTTTGGGATCATTTTATGGACAGAAGATATTACAGATTATTCCAACTGAAGACTGAAAATGTCGCTATGTGATATCTCTTATTGTAAGAACACATTTGTGAAATTGTGAGTCTCAAATCATTGGAGTTATTATTCAATTTAGAAAGTTAGACATTTGACCAAATTTGATCCAAAATATGATTGTGTGTTGAAATAACAAGGCATGGTCCGATATGTGACGGATATGACACAGCCACAGACACAGATCATTTATGTGATAAAAGCCACTTCCTTGTAACTGTACTGGACAACACCATTATGGACTCTGGGTGCGTTTGGATGACTGGACAGTACCATTATGGACTCTGGGTGTGTTTGGATGACTGGACAGTACCATTATGGACTCTGGGTGTGTTTGGATGACTGGACAGTACCATTATGGACTCTGGGTGTGTTTGGAGTACTGGACAGTACCATTATGGACTCTGGGTGGTGTTTGGATGACTGGACAGTAACCATTATGGACTCTGGGTGTGTTTGGATGACTGGACAGTACCATTATGGACTCTGGGTGTGTTTGGATGACTGGACAGTACCATTATGGACTCTGGGTGTGTTTGGATGACTGGACAGTACCATTATGGACTCTGGGTGTGTTTGGATGACTGGACAACACCATTATGGACTCTGGGTGCGTTTGGATGACTGGGACAGTACCATTATGGACTCTGGGTGTGTTTGGATGACTGGACAGTACCATTATGGACTCTGGGTGTGTTTGGATGACTGGACAGTACCATTATGGACTCTGGGTGTGTTTGGATGACTGGACAGTACCATTATGGACTCTGGGTGTGTTTGGATGACTGGACAGTACCATTATGGACTCTGGGTGTGTTTGGATACTGGACAGTAACCATTATGGACTCTGGGTGTGTTTGGATGAACTGGACAGTACCATTATGGACCTCTGGGTGTGTTGGATGACTGGACAGTACCATTATGGACTCTGGGTGTGTTTGGATGACTGGACAACACCATTATGGACTCTGGGTGTGTTTGGATGACTGGACAACACCATTATGGACTCTGGGTGTGTTTGGATGACTGGACAACACCATTATGGACTCTGGGTGTGTTTGGATGACTGGACAACACCATTATGGACTCTGGGTGTGTTTGGATGACTTGGACACACCATTATGGACTCTGGGTGTGTTTGGATGACTGGACAACACCATTATGGACTCTGGGTGTGTTTGGATGACTGGACAGTAACCATTATGGACTCTGGGTGTGTTTGGATGACTGGACAGTACCATTATGGGACTCTGGGTGTGTTTGGATGACTGGACAGTACCATTATGGACTCTGGGTGTGTTTGGATGACTGGACAGTACCATTATGGACTCTGGGTGTGTTTGGATGACTGGACAGTACCATTATGGACTCTGGGTGTGTTTGGATGACTGGACAGTACCATTATGGACTCTGGGTGGTGTTTGGATGACTGGACAACACCATTATGGACTCTGGGTGTGTTGGGATGACTGTAACCGTACCATTATGGACTCTGGGGTTGATGACGAACACCATTATGGACTCTGGGTGTGTTTGGATGACTGGACACACCATTATGGACTCTGGTGTGTTTGGATGACTGGACAACACCATTATGGACTCTGGGTGTGTTTGGATGACGGGACAACACCATTATGGACTCTGGGTGTGTTTGGATGACTGGACAACACCATTATGGACTCTGGGTGTGTTTGGATGACTGGACAGTACCATTATGGACTCTGGGTGTGTTTGGATGACTGGACAACACCATTATGGACTCTGGGTGTGTTTGGATGACTGGACAACACCATTATGGACTCTGGGTGTGTTTGGATGACTGGACAGTACCATTATGGACTCTGGGTGTGTTTGGATGACTGGACAGTACCATTATGGACTCTGGGTGTGTTTGGATGACTGGACAACACCATTATGGACTCTGGGTGTGTTTGGATGACTGGACAACACCATTATGGACTCTGGGTGCGTTTGGATGACTGGACAGTACCATTATGGACTCTGGGTGTGTTTGGATGACTGGACAACACCATTATGAACTCTGGGTGTGTTTGGATGACTTGACAACACCATTATGGACTCTGGGTGTGTTTGGATGACTGGACAGTACCATTATGGACTCTGGGTGCGTTTGGATGACTGGACAGTACCATTATGGACTCTGGGTGCGTTTGGATGACTTGACAACACCATTATGGACTCTGGGTGTGTTTGGATGACTGGACAGTACCATTATGGACTCTGGGTGTGTTTGGATGACTGGACAGTACCATTATGGATGTCACTGGACTAAACCATTATGGAGGTTTCACTCGGGCTGTGTTTGGATGTTGTTCTTCATGTTAATGATGAGGTCCCAGAAGATAATTATTCTCCCTCTGGCCCCTTTGTCCTATTAGCAGGCTGACTCAGAGGACAGTTGAGAGCAGTCATTCAGCATAGTCCTAATTCAATTTCTGTCCCAAAGAGACAGATATTTTATTTTCACCACAACACTACTACATTCCTGTCCTACGTCTAAAATAAAAGCCCTATTCCCTATATAGTGCACTACTTTTGACGAGGGCCGATGGGGCTCTGTAGTGCACTAAAGTAGTGCACTAAAGTAGTGCACTAAATAGGGAACAGGGGCCCAGGGGTTTAGAATAGATCCAACCTCACACCATAGTTCATCATTGCCAAGAGATTAGAAAGCGGTTGTTAAGATTTTACAGTCCAAGAATAAGTAGTTAAAAAGAGACAGGAGACATGCTGTAGTTTAGCATTCTCCCTCGTCCTCTCTGCCTCTGGTGTAATTGGAGATGTATGTGAAAAGCATTACAACACTATACGTTCGAGATAATGTCAAAATGGGACCAATGTGAGTATAGACGTATAGTATGGAGTCACCGTCTTTGTTCTACACTGAACAAAAATATAAACCTGACATGCAACAATTTCAAAGATTTTACTGAGTTACAGATCATATAAGGAAATCAGTCAATTGAAATAAATTCATTAGGGTCCTAATCTATGGATTTTACATGACTGGTCACAGATCCCTTAAAAAAAAAAGTAGGGGTGTGGATCAGAAAACCAGTCAATATCTGGTGTGACCACCATTTGCCGCATGCAGCGTGACCAATCTCCTTCACATAGAGTTGATCAGGCTGTTGATTGTGGCCTGTGGAATGTTGTCCCACTCCTCTTCAATGACTGTGCGAAGTTGCTGGATATTGGCGGAAACTGGAACACGCTGTCGTACACATTGATCCAGAGCATCTCAAACATGCTCAATGGATGACATGTCTGATGAGTATGCAGGCCATGGAAGAACTGGGACATTTTCAGCTTCCAGGAATTGTGTACAGATCCTTGCGACATGGGACCGTGTATTATCATGCTGAAACATGAGGTGATGGCGGCGGATGAATGGCACGACAATGGGCCTCAGGATCTCATCACGGTATCTCTGTGCATTCAAATTGCCATCGATAAAATGCAATTGTGTTCGTTGTCCGTAGCTTATGCCTGCCCATACCATAACCCCACCGCCACCATGGGGCACTCTGTTCACAATGTTGACATCAGCAAACCGTTCGCCCAAATGACGCCATACACATTCATCTGCCCGCTACAGTTGAAACCGGGATTCATCTGTAAAGAGCACACTTCTCCAGTGTGCCAGTGGCCATCGAAGGTGAACATTTGCCCACTGAAGTCGGTTACAACGCCGAACTGCAGTCAGGTCAAGACCCTGGTGAGGACGACGAGCACGCAGATGAGCTTCCCTGAGACGGTTTCTGACAGTTTGTGCAGAAATTATTTGGTTGTGCAAACCCACAGTTTCATCAGCTGTCCGGCTGGCTGGTCTCTGACGATCCCGCAGGTGAAGATGCTGGATGTGGAGGTCCTCGGGCTGGCGTGGTTAAATGTGGTCTGCAATTGTGAGGCCGAATGGACATACTGCCAAATTCTCTAAAACAACTTTGGTAGAGAAATTAACATTAAATTATCTGGCAACAGCTCTGGTGGACATTCCTGCAGTCAGCATGCCCAATTGCACGCTCCCTCAAGATTTGAGACATCTGTGGCATTGTGTGACAAAACTGCACATTTTAGAATGGCTTTTTATTGTCCCCAGCACAAGGTGCATCTGTGTAATGATCATGCTGTTTAATCAGCTTCTTGATATGCCACACCTGTCAGGTGGACGGATTATCTTGGCAAAGGAGAAATGCTCACTAACAGGGATGTAAACCAATGTGTGCAAAAAAAATTGAGAGAAATAAGCTTTTTGTGCATATGGAACATTTCTGGGATCTTTTATTTCAACTCATGAAACATGGGACCAACACTTTACATGTTGCGTTTATATTTTGGTTCAGTGTAGTATACTGTCATCATTGGGGAAATGTGAGCTGTTCTGTACATGAAGTGCGCCATGATCAGATGTCAAATTTTGGGAGCGTTGCGTTGGGTTTAACGGTTTCTTAGAATTGACTTCTTATGTAGATTAGATAATGAAGATTGAAATCTTGAAGCATTACTAACAAGTTCAAATGAAATAGCAGTTTTGTAGTTTAACTTTTCCAAATGGAAAAATAATTGTTTAAATAATTTTATATTGTTCATTTTTTGAATGTGCAATCCAAGAAATGTCAACATGCATGAGATCTGGGGTTAGGAATACCTGGTCAATTCAACATTCCCCTAACTCACTATACTGAGATCTGGGGTTAGGAATACCTGGTCAATTCAACATTCCCCTAACTCACTATACTGAGATCTGGGGTTAGGAATACATTTACATTACATTTTAGTCATTTAGCAGACACTCTTATCCAAAGCGACTTACAGTTAGTGAATACATTTTTTTTTTTTTATACTGGCCCCCCATGGGAATCAAACCCACAACCCTGCCGTTGCAAACGCCATGCTCTATCAACTGAGCTACATCCCTGCCAGCCATTCCCTCCCCTACCCTGGACCAATTGTGCACCGCCCATGAGTCTCCCGGTCGCGGCCGGCTGCGACAGAGCCTGGATTCGAACCAGGATCTCTAGTGGCACAGTTAGCACTGCGATGCAGTGCCTTAGACCACTGCGCCACTCAGGAGCTTGGTCAATTCAACATTCCCCTAACTCACTACACTCATATACTTCTTTATATAACATTTTATGCTACGTGCTATTCCATCCCCACTGCTCTGCCATCCCCTAAACCCTAACCCTCCCCCTTCCATGCACCGATAGACAAAACAGGAAGACTAGTCTGCCTTTGAAGGTGTGTGAGTCTGACTGTGCCCCAGAATGTTGGAGAGCAATGAAGTGTCATGTGGACACACCATATCTCTACTCAAATCTGACCCAGAAAACCAACACTCAGGTTAAACTTCTTTAGAGTTCACAGACTGAAACCAAATGGATTCTCTTGTCCCAAAAAAAAGTATTCTAATCATACTAATATTTGGGGCTCTCTGTATCTCAAGTCTTATATGGTCAACAACCCATATTTCAAAAAGTTTAATGAAAACCCACCAATTTGTAAGTCGCTCTGGATAAGAGCGTCTGCTAAATGACGAAAATGTAAATGTAAATGTTAATAAAAGGGCAATTCCATGGTAACGGAATTGCGCTTCGACTCAGATTTTTCACTTTAAAATGCATGCCAAACAAAAACCATTGATTTCAAAGTTCAACAAACCGTACAGCTCTTTGCACAAGGACTACTTTTAACAATTTACACAGAAAAATCTGAACCAATTATAAACGTCTATGTTTCACAAGTTTGGACATCACAGTAGAGCACAGCAGAGTAGAGTTCAGTACAGTAGATATGTTCAATACAGTACATTATACCGTACTCTACTCTAGTGTGCTCTACTGTACTCTACTCTACTGTACAGTACTGTACTCTACTTTATGGTAATTCCATTACCAATTTGGTAACAGAATTACGAAATTTGAATCACTTAATAATTAATTAAAAAACTTGATATCAGTAAAAACACTAACTGATTGTTTGGTCTACCTTCACTTGTTACTTCTGTGAACTTCATAAAAAAGTATTACAGGAAATAGAATATTATCAAGGCCATTTTAAATCAGACCATGCTATGATCTATATTGCAAATAAAGATGAATTGTAGAGATGGAGGATCTCTGCTCTATCACAGGGCTGTCTTTGGCAATAACATGAATCAGACTGCTGTATGTTATTCTTCATACGGATATCACTGTCCCTTATCAGAACTCACATCCCTTAATTGGCAACTTTAGAGGATAGATTACAAACATCAATAAATAATACTGAAGAACCACGTAATTTCCTAAGACTTGAGTTCGTGGGATATTAAGTTTAACAAAGTGTTTCAACGTTGGAATGCTGTGTTGGTGCACGCCTCACGCCAAAGAATCTAATCTTTATCTTTAAGTTAATCTAGTTCTTTAAGTTTATAATTATTTACAGAATGTTCTGAATGTGGTTTAAATATGATAGTATGACGTAAACAACAAATGGACAGGGGGTTCCAGAGTCAATATTTGCAAATAGGGCCTGTTGCATAAAGCACACCTTGAGAATCTCATTTGGAAATGTGTAACTTTTTTAGCTCGTCAGAAACAAAACATAACTTCTGAATAAGAAACATTATCTATTTAAAAATGACCTCCAGCTGTATTTTGTGAAGGATGCACGGGATTGGTGAGTTTATAAGACGTGTATGGCACGGTGGAAGCTTCCTGCACCGAATTTTTTTAAAACATTTTACTCATTTAGCAGACGCTCTTATCCAGAGCGACTTACAGTTAGTGAATACATTTTTTCATACTGGCCCACCGTTGGTATCGAACCCACAACCCTGGCGTTGCAAGCGCCATGCTCTACCAACGGAGCTACACCGGACCTAGACCTAGAGTAATCACGCACCTAGACGGCTCAGGCTCCAATAATGACGTTTTTAGATATCGTTGCACATGAATATGAGTAGGCCTAGCCAAATACCGTGGGCTCGATATATTATTTAGTAGTCGTCTAGACCTATACTATGCCATGGCTTTATATTCGTGTTTTAACATTTTATTCACTTTTTATTTTCTAATAATTCGATAGAGCAACATTGGAGAAATTAGGTTCACCAAAACAATGAAGTTCTGAAAAGGAGCTCGCAAGATACAAAATATAGGCCTAATTCAAGATGTTAGACTGACGATGGCATAGCAGCATCCAGGGCTTTGTTTCGCAGAGCCTTCGTAGCGTTAAGATATATCGTCGTTAGAACCATTTTACGATGTATCTTTAGTAGCCGAGCTGTTTCCCAGAACCTTCGTTAGTAACGTTGCTGTTAAAAACCTTCGCACA